GGGACATAAAAAGAAATGGTCTTCAATAAACTTTTCATATTATGATACATTATAAAGAAGACGTTACAATAATGAAAATATTTGTTCTGATTTTCATATTAAATTCTCTGAAAAATATACTCAGAACTGAGTAAAAGGATGACGTAAATCAAGAATTAAGGTAGATCCTATGTCGGAAAAGTCTTTGTCTCAAGATTTTCAAACTTTTCAAAATGATAGTCCCGTGGGGATACGGGTTAGAATAGGTCCTCAGTACCCCCTTAATTGTCGTATAAGGCGACTAAATGGGGCGGTCCTTCGGATGAGACCGTATAATCCGAGGCCCCGTGTCACAGCAGGTGTGGCACGATGAAGATCCCACCCTGCTCAAAGGCCGTAAGTGCCGAGCATAGGCCTAAATTTGCAGCCCTTCACCGGCAATGGTGACGTCTCCATATCAGTGAAATATTCTGGAGAGGGACGTTAAACAGTATACAATCAATCAATCAATCAATGATAAATTAGTACTTGCTTATCAAACAGTTAAAATATCATGATATGTTTCCTTGTTTTTTTTATCTAGAACAGGCTGTGAAACTTGGTATGTTATTTACATACTGAGACTTCACATTTTCAAATATTTTTAGGGGTACTTGTCATAAAAGGAATATGAAAAATCACAAAATACTTCTTCAAACATCGTCGTTTATAAACTTTATTAAGTGAATAATATTAAACTATATTATATCAAGAATAATTTCTTTTTTATTCAATTAACATAAAAGATACAATGTAAGTCCACAATTAAAAAAAATTGTCAAATGACCTCTTTTATTTTTAGTCAATCATGCACCCTACATTTGTAAATATTTTTAGAAGTCTTTGTCACAATATTTTCAATCTTTAATATGATGAAGAACATAGCCAAATGATTACAAAAAGTGATTAAAATATAAACCTTTCCCCTCTTACTAATGAAAGATAGGCTATTTATCGATACGCATATTCTTTACCTTTTTGCACTTACACGGGACTTAATAATTAAATGACTGTTTGGGGTTACTTTCAGATTAAATATTTATCAGAAATTGTACCTTTACTTTAAAAAGATCATATTAAAAAGAAAATTGTAATCAAACACCAAGAATATGAATAGGTAACAAATAATTGTAAAAAGGAATGCACATCATTTCATTATAGATATGACAAAATGTACACACGATCAAACGATCTACAACACGTACATCTTTGACTTGGACACATTTCATCAAGATATTACACTATATAGCTGGCAACTAAAGATTTTTTACAATTTATGCATTCCTTCAAAATGGTTACATACCATTCAAATTATTACGAAAGTTGTATGTACATTGTAATTTCATTACACTACATAGTCTTGGGTTTGTCAACTTCAGGTCTAGATCTAGTAAATAAAAGGTGCCTACATATTTTCTCTTATTCCAGAAATATATTGCCATTAAGCATATAAACCAAAAAATATATGAATTGAATTAAGATTATATTGGCATGATTGAATTCTGTGAATTTCAAAATGCAGTTTTTCTACCATTTCTATTGAAGCTGTCAAGTATGGGAAAAAGTGACATTGAATTATTAATTATGACGTCTTAATGGGTTAGCACAGGTTAAACACATTTACCGGTTATGATGTCATACAAAGAAGGTTCTACGTTAAAAGAAATGTAATGAATACTGTGTGATAAATCAAAAGTTAACGTCTACATGTATAGTTTTTGCATTCAAACAAAGACTGTGTATTTTGCACTAGCCCATAGCTTTACAGAGAATATTTTTAGGTCTTATGCTTACCCCACCCCCTTTCTTATTTAGGAGGAAGTCGATATTGAACAAAAGAAAAAAAAAAAAAACTTCCTTTATTTTTCTATAAGAAGGAATTAAAAATAAGCTTCAAATTATCTACTATTCTACTAATTTTTAATTGTTACTTTGCCTCAATTCGTTCAAGTATACCTCCACCAACATTTACAGCATGCTTTAATCATGGCAAAGTAAATTATGATATGATAGTACTTGTGTGAAGGCTTAACTTCATTTCAATATTTTATCTAGAGCCTCTTTCAGAATAATTCAAAGGTATAGAGTTTTGTTTTGTTTTTTTTTATATATATATTTTGCTTTTGATTTATTATGTTTTTTTTTTTGTTTTGATTTAACGTAATATTCTTTTTTTGTGGGGGAGGGGATAAAAATTTCCTCATCTTTCAATGTCAAATAGGATTTGCCAAACTTAAACAAGCTAAAAGTTTAATTTTTCCTATTAAAGAATATTTAAACCTGATTTTTGCATGGTTTGATTTCTAAAAACAAGTGGAATATCATTCTTTAAGCAAACATTATAATTAAGGAGGAATATTAAAAAGAAATGTTATTTACTTGATAATTAAAGAATCTCTTTTCAAGCACAATTTTAGCATTGAAAGACTACATAAATTTCTTAATTATTTCATACGACTTTTTGTATTTTTCTGGTTACAGAAAATGTAAAAATTAGTTTCGCTGTAAAAAAGATATCAAAGAGTGTATATTTTGTATCTCTTTAAAGGGGTCATTTTTCAATGGGGGTCATTATTTTATAGGACTAACATATAAAAAAATGACCCCCTAGGACTCTTTTTCTACAAAAAATGATTTTTTTCTACGGGTGGGGGTAATTTTTTGTCGTTGAAAAATGACCCCCGGTCATTATTCGATGGGGGTCATTATTCGTCTTTACACCGGCTTATTTAAAACTGCAAACAGAACTATTTCAAAAACTATCTCTCAGATACTACTGAAAGTGTATTACACATGCTTATATAGCATGACGAAATTCTTCAAAGACCCGCAGTCAGTTTTGCAACAGAATGGATATAGATATATAAAATTCGTACACTCTCTTACATCATGGTTTTCATTTTTACTTCTACAAATATCAATTTCATTAAAGGCCTCTTCTTCTTACATGTTACAAAAGCAAACTTATTCTGTTGAACTATGTTATACATCATGTACTACGGGTGCTTATTGACATTTTCTCTTTACATGTTGGAAACTTTATTTTAATATATGTTGAACTATGTTATCACTTATTATACTTCGAATATCTGTTTCAATTTACATCAAGGATAAGAGAATGAACGTGTACATTTAACTATATAGAAACAATAATAATGTGTCAGATTTTTAATATCGAAAAAAGCTTTGTTTTCAACCCATATGTACATGCAGGCCTAAATCCACTGATATGTATTCGTCAAAGAACATTTTTTTAAACGCATTTAAGCAAAATATTTTAAAATCACATTGTACCATTTTATATGTCTAAACAAATAACAAAGGCCATCAAACGACATTCATTTATAAAACATTAGCATTATGTTCTAGAATATATTCACAAAGTCATTAATGTGATACAAATTGCTTTACATTTCCAAGCCCATTTATGATACATGTAAATAACAGCCTCGATTTTTGACTTTCCAGAACTTTCGACAAAATGTGAGATCGGATATAAACAGAATTTAAGGACTTGCACATTTTTGTTTTTTAATCAATGAGCTTATTTTTTTTATATCACTCAGATCGAGTATTGATTGAATAATTCATTAATAACGTTTTATGAAATAAATAAACGCTTGATTGTTGTCAGTTTTATTATAAAATGCCTTTGACTAAGATCCGTAAACCGAAACCACCACTATATACTCTCTTTTATGATATTTTTAGGCTGTTAATTGAAAATGAATGTATACTTAATTAAATTCACGATAATTACTATGCGAATGAAATCTGCATATAGTTTACGGACATCACCTAATATCTAGTATATTCCTATAGGCTTAAGTAAGAACTCTTGTGCAGCCCTTTCGGAGTTTATTTGCAAAATTTGTTAAATTATAAGACTAGTATAGATAGCCAAGGTTAACAACTATGATCTTGACTTTTTTGAGTTTGAATTGCATTTGAGAACGCCATAAGCATATTAGTGTTTCACGAACACAACTCTTAGACCTTGGTGTTTGACTTGAAGTTGAGAAACGTTTAACTTTGCCAAACCCAAAAGCTCTTCTAATTTCTTTTTTTATATAATCAGTTCTTATAGAAGAGACAGGTGTACTAGCTTTTGGACAACCAGAGTCTCCGATTTTTCTTATTTTATGAAAAATAATTATAAATTTATAGACGAGATCTATTTCCAAGTTGTTATATAACATTCATTTTCTTCACAAAGAATATTGTTATCTGTAATGATTGATTGCTTGTATATTAGTTTATATCTTTGTACGTTCCTCTCGAGAATTTTTCACTCATATGGAGACGCCACCTTTTGCCGGTGGAGTTCTGCAAATTGTGTCCTATACTCGGCACTTAGGACCATTGAGCAGGGAGAAATCTTTTTTGTAAGAGCACCTACTGCGACACGAAACCTCGATTTATACGGTCTCATCCGAAGGACTGGTCTCCACGTCCCACAGTGGAATTCGAACCCGCCACTTTATTATCAACTCCTTACTTCGCGACTCTAGAGCAGACACACTATAACCACTGCACCAGCGGGCGACTATTATTATCTGTAATCAGAGCCATTTCATTCATCTTAGTCTCAGGAAACATACTTCAAAATAGACCTAAATTATCTGTATAATTTATATGCTTTAAAAAGGTTCGAATATCTCTGAATCTTTGAGATTATCAAATGACGCAGGCTACCTCTTACAGAAAATATTAAACCGAATTCTTGTTATAATTGACACTTCTTAACTAAATGTCAAACATTTCACCAATTACATGGACAAGAAACAATAAAATTCTCTTTAAATGTATAAACAGGTACTCCTGGAGACAAAGGCTTAATCCTTGGAGTGTGGAATCCAGCTTCGTTATCCACCATTTTTGTAATACCACGAAATCCTGCTTCTTATCCTGGCCTTTCCAATTACATATCACCGTCAAATCTTCAAATCACTAGCGTTACGTCTGATTCTCGGAAAAAAGTTGCTTTTGCTGCTATTATGGATTCTATCTACAGGTTTAATAACTTCAACATTTGGCAAAATAATTCAATCTCTCTGTCGCTAGCTTACAAAGGGAAGTCTTCAGACTTCGGTCAAATTGCATTTGACTACATTTCGAACAACTTATATTGGTGTGATTCCCTTCATAAATGGATTGCCATGAAACCAGCATACAGTGACAATGATACGATTTATAAAGTTGTTGTTCAAAAGGATTTATATCAACCGGAGGGATTAGCACTTGATCCAGAGGATGGGTAAGTTATTATATAAAAGAAATGAAATAAATCATACATGTACATGACTGTATGTGTTATAACTTTAAATGTAACAGTTACATGTAAATGTTAAAGTGTTCAAAATTCATTAAATTAATATTCAAATTCACGAATGTCATGTTCTAATTTCTATAGACAAAAAGTTTGCTTAATTTTCTATTCTGAATTTGTAGTAAATAAATATACCCTTTGAAAAAAGGTATGCATAGTTACTGAATGAATTTTAGTGACATGTTGTATATAGACTGAGTATATAGAGATTATTTAGTAAAATAATGTATTTATATTACAGAATTATTTGGGATACTATCTAAATGTCAATAATTTAATTTTAGTAATGCGGTAACACGTCAATGAATTGGGTAAAAGATTTATTCTACCACGATTATTGTAAACATCAAAGGAAACCGCCAGACATTATTCTCCAATAAATCACGAACGTCATCAAAAAATTATCAGATCAGAAACGCGTATCAAACTTGAACAATTCAATTGCATGTTTGGCTGAAGAATGAAATACTTGTTAAGACCGCACCGATGTGTCGTCTTTTGCAGTATAAACACTGTAAATTGCATCAAGTTGCTGATGAAGGTCGGTTTTTATAGCTGAGCGGGCTATTCCACGGACCTCCCTACATATTTAAACAACGTGATTTTAGTAAAACCGGAACATGATTTTGTTACTGCATCTATTCATTAAAACTAATCAATACATATTACGAACAAATTTGTAATTCATAAAGCTATTTTTAATGCAACGAAAGCTCAAATCGTCTGATTTCCATACACAGGTAAGTAAACAAAATTTCGCTCTGGTGTTAAATGGAACAGATTTATAGAGACATGGTGACCTAATTCTTTTCTCTATAGAGGAAACGATCAGCTGTATTTTAGCATGTTAAGCGATCTTTGTAGAATAGAAATAAAGTCCTTGTTGTCGTGAATGATGCAGGATAACCTCCGAGGTCGAGAAATGTTGTTTGAAATATAAAAGCCTCGGCTAACGCCTCGGCTTTTATCTTTCAAACAACATTTCTCGACCTCGGAGGTTATCCTGAAACATTCACGACAACGCGGACTTTTTCTTAAATCCATTTCGTATAACATAAGTTGCCTACGTCACAATGAGTTACTCCAAAACATATTACTCCGCTTGACGTTACTTTTAAAATATGCTCAATTTGAAGCTTTTTTCTGGAGGAAACTACGCTGAAATTAAATTATGAAGAATGAAGCTTATTTCAACCTATGTTATACGATATAACATAACTTGGACAGTTTACGCTTTTTTATAAATTGCTTCATTCCTTCAAATTTATAAAGAAAATCGATCAAAATCATAGACAGTTTAAGGTCATTAAAGATCAATATCTGGCATGTCCCAAAGACACAAATGATAGCCTATAACGGCATTTATTGGAAGTAAATATACAGTGTAGTAAAAAACGTCATAGGAATACTCTCCCACTTGTGCATTGATAGAATGAAATGCGACTCCCGAATGTTGCAAAATTGAAAAGGCATGTGCAAGTAGAACATTGTTAGAGAACCTTTTTCCATCAAAGTCCGTTGAATATGAACCAGATCAGTCTTACTTTTATGTAAAACCTTTTTCCAAATCATCACACTAACACCACCAAATCTTTCAACGTCCTGGATGCAGTTTTCTGTCTAGCGTTCATTACGAAGCATTATATGCACTCTTAAACTTATAACAGGCTTTCTGGTAAACATCCTGGACTAATAGCTAAACCAATATGTTCAGTAGTGTTGATGTGGCCATATTCTGTGCACTTCATACATGTAGTTAATGCTGAAGATGACGTTATTGTGAAACATACATGAAATTTTCGTAATCCATCTAAAGCGACCCTGTGTTGATTGTACAGGTGGTCTGTCATATTTTGCGAGCATTGAATGTTCTTTGTTAATGGTATGTTTTATATGTTTGAAATAGTGCCGTGCGTAACATTTAAATTGCAGACTATGGTAGACCTGCTTCCAGTAGCCCTTTTTCCTTTTTGCGCTTTGCATCATTCGGATGCAGCGTTTTTATATAGCGTCAATTTTCAGATACAACCAGAATCAAAATATCGAGAACCCCTCTTTTTTATAGCCCCTTTGTGCCAGATGGAATTGCATCAGAAACCATCCAATGAAAATTGAGATATTTGTTTTATCATTTTACAAAATCAGGTCTTCTTGTCTGTGAGATTGAAGCAATTGCGTTAAAAAATAACGCAAATTACTCGAATGAATGGTATCTATCTTTAAAATAAATGTATGACAAAACTATCGTTCGTTTTTCAGGGTACTCCTAGGGTACTCCTAGGGTGTTCCTACTATATGCGTTTCCTTTTTGAAGAGTATATTTCCATTTGCTCATACTGCATGTACTCCTCAGCGCAAATTTAAATAATTGTGTCTACTAATTATTCAGAACTGTTTTTTTTTTGTACAGATTAATGTTCTTTTCGGACAATCAACCAACTTCTCGCATTGAAAGAGTTTCTATGGATGGAAGGGATAGAACTGCAATTGTGTACACCAGTTTGCTACGAATATTTTCCCTTTCCGTTGATGAGACCAGTAATTTACTGTACTGGGCAGATCACGACAGACACACTCTTGAGGTCAGCGACTATAACGGATTAAATAGAAGAGTAATCCGACGAAGCAACAACGTTCCTGTAACTGGATTACACTATTACCAGGTATTTCATTTTCATTAGTAAAGATAAAGATTTTTTAAAGCCCTTGTAAATAGTTCCGATGATGGTTAATTTTTAGCTCTACTGGTCAAAGATTAAATTAGTCGTAAGATGTTTTGTGAATAGATGTCCAGAAGAGCTTATGTGATAGTAATGCGTCCGTCGTCCATCCATCTGTCTGTCTAGCTGTCCGTCTGTCAGTAAACAATTTTTCAAAATGCTACTCCTCCTACAGTTTACGTCTGATTTCAATACACAGTGTAACTCAGGACACAAGTAGACTAAACTAAGATACATAATTTAGTGCATGGGTTTTTGAGGCTAGATGAACGTTGTTGCCATGGTTACTAAAAATAGAAATTTGAATGAAATCCCTTTAAAACGCTACTCCTCCTACAGTTTAGGTCTGATTTCAATCACAGGTACTTGTGGACAGGACCCCCCCCCCCCCCCGTGCATTGAGAATGTTACACTTATTACGATAACGTCCGATCGAGAGAGTTTTTGCCTGACGTAATAATCACTCTCGGGTGTTATCATAACAGGTAATAGGCACTTCCGTTGCGTTTACCTAAGGAAATTTCAACATTCTGACTGGAATGTTATTTAAGAGCCAGTCCGCGAGAAAACCATGCAGAACTGTCCAAATCGAAGGTTGTCATATCTTAATGAAATTTGAAGGGTAGTTAGACTTTATAATATGTTATTAAAAAATGACCAAAAAAAAAAATCCCATCATTCAACCTGGCAGCCGTAGGCAGCGCCACCTCCTTTTTGCACATTTGAGTGCAAAATGAATGCACTTAAAAAATTCAAGAAAAATGGTAAAATTCACATTTGATTTATCTTACTCAAAATTAAACTTGCATTTCCATTAAGGTATTATTAAGTAAACATAAGACTATGTTCTTTCAAAATTGACGTTTATCATAATCAAATATGCAATATATCAAAGGGCAGACAACTCTTGAAAATTGGCATGATGCCAATTTTCAAGAATTGCCAAAAGTATTACAAATTTAATTCCCCAATCTTCCAAGACCAATCTTTGAAATTAATTTTTTTTTGATTTTATTGTACAAATATAACTCTAAACATTATCTTTGCAAAATATTGAGCTTCGAAAATAATAATAAATTGAGATATGGGGATTTACAAATTGCCAATTTTCGAAAAAATTGCTCAAATTCAAATGGGTTACTAAGTCAAATATAGTACTTTAAATTATAAGCAATTGTTGTTAGATTTTGAAACATGTAACAATTTTCTCTGAAATAATAATTAAGATTGAAAAACATTATTAAAATTAAAAATTAAATAAAACTAAATTGTCAGAAATTACCCCTTATATGAGGATTAGCATTTTTGCCAATTGTTTAGAAATGAAAAAAAAGCATAATAAATTGCACTAGCTTACTTGCAATTTTTTTTTCAACAATCATATGAATATATATGTTCCTTACATTTTGTAAGTTAGTTTCTTTTTAACATAGACCTAAAACGTTTAAATGTTTAATTAATAAAAGGGAAATTACAAGTATTTAAAATTCAAACGGACTCTATTTCAGTATCATTCATATGAATTTTGAGACTTGAACATATAAAATTTGAGCCTTCAGTAACTTGTTTGCTTTCTGCCAAATTTAAATTGGTACAATCTTATAAATTATTTAAAATACTGACAGGAGATGTTATACAAAAAAACTCCATAAAGGAGTTTAAGAAAATGAAAGATGCTGGATTTTACTTTTATCCCACCTCCCGAATCAAACAATTGTCTTCTTTTTTTTCACTTGGCAAATTCTTTTCAGGTAAATTTAACTTTAACCCCCCCCCCCCTTTCAAAATCGTTTCTACGTCACTGCTATGACTGCGATTTTCCTGCATAAGAGATTTTATGATTATGAATAAATCAACTTGAATTAAATAATGGGGGATTGAATTTATAAAATATATGTTGTTTATAAATTTGTGTATTTAAGGTGATTTAATCTATAAAAAAAAATATGTTTTCCTTTCCGTTTTCCGTTCCTCGTTTTAGCAACACCCCTCCAGAATCCTTATCATTTTTCATTATTTTTGTCCATTTCAATATTAGTATGTAAATTGTGGGGATGTGGATGGGGTTAAACGATTGGGTACTAGATACACTCGACAGAAGTTGATAGCCCCCCCCCCCAATTTGAATGAACAGTCATTTAGGGTATTCCTAGCTGCAGATCTGTAGCTCTCCGAAAAAAAATATTAATAGATCTTTGAAACCAAAATGGCAGTATAAATAAACGAAATGTTCGATGACTACAATATCAGGATCAGGAGGAATTATGAGGAATGTTTGGTTTTGGAAACAGCGAAAGAATGTGTTAGGAACATACGGTTAGTAATATTTTGAGATTGCAGTTTTAAAAACATGGAAAAATAAATCGAAAACCGAGCGCATTTTTTGTGCACAATAAATATACAGTTTTTTCAATGGGTGGCACTGTAGCTCTCCGGTCTATCAGTATTTTTTTTTTTTTGGAGAGCTACAGATCTACAGCTAGGGTATTCCGAATCACCTTTTACATTTTGACTGCAGATGATTTTATTTAAAACTTTTCACATGGTTGTTTGGTATCAAAGGAAAGCCAATTTAGAGAAAAATCAGATCTACTTTAAAGATCGAACGAGTCTATCTTCGATACAGCGACCTTGACGGGGTTATATTTGGATCACCTTTTTAGTGTATTGCGAATCACTTCCGGGTATTTCGAATCACCAGGTAAATGGGTGATGAAAACGGTCAGAAAACATCATCATAATTGATGAACTAGTTAGTATTGTTTATAAAAAGCTCCAAGAATAAAAAGAATTAAAATTTTCTTCATTGTTCTTGTTTATTTAAAAGTTACCAACACCCCCCTCTTTATTCGCACTATAAAACATTTTTTCAGAAGCAGAAAAGCAATTATTACCAAAAAAAAATAGGGGTTTCAGAAATTACATGACTGTAAATTGTTCTCCTGTAAATATAATTATGTTTCTTTTTTGCCCCTGTGATTTTTTTTCGCTGCAAAACAATTAACAATGAAAATAAAAAAAGAATATATCATATACATGTAATGATGATGATAATAAAAGAAATGTGTGAAAAGGGATAAAAGCTAGCTCTAGTTTAGATATATGTATCACAATTATTAAATATGACATAAATCACTGCATACGTGCACAGTATACATATATGTGTACATGTATATGCGTGTAAGTCCATATTTACACATGTATGATAAAAGGATCAACACTGGTCAAGCTACTCATTAACTCTTCACTGCTTTTCCATTTCATAATTTTCATAGGTCCCTTGCATGTAAAGAAAACCGATTTTATCAAAACATCGGGCATATAACAAGTATGCAGGTGTGCAATTTCTTAAGTTGCGGCCATGCACATGATACATGTACTTGATTCGAAATACCCTAAACTGTAGGGGGCTACAAATGCGGTGGTAACATATACATTTTTGAGATGCAATAAAAAATTATTAATGCTCATGAAAGCTCATAAAATTGCCGTTCTATCAATACCTATTATGCTAGATTTTATTCACCATCAACGCCACAACATCGATGAGAAATATTCTGCAACGTTTATACTCGGAAATTTTCTTTGAGAAGGATAGCAAATTAACGAATTAATTAAGGTAAATTATCGAGTGTCGCGAGATGCGGGGTGATTCGAAATACCCTAAATGACTGAATATGAATTCAGTCTTTTATCATGTTTGTCGCAAGTTTTAAATTTTTACCACTTTGTACTGCAAACTAGCAAAGTTTTTTTTTTTTTTTTTTATTTTTTATTTCACAAGTGCAAGTACAAATCAGCAAATTTTTTATAACATCATATACATTACAATAAGGATATGTCTCATAATTGCTGATTGAGGGGAAAGAAAAGAAAAGAGAGAAAGGGAAGAGAGAGGGAAGAGAAGCTGCTTATTAACAAATTAGGAAAAAAAACCATGTCTGTATAAACATTTATTTGATCACGAGCAAAATAGTCAGAGCCTTCTAAGTATGAATTACAGAAATTACACATTTTACTATCTTTCATCCCCACTTTAAACATGAATACATTAGTGGTTAAGATTTGATGGTTAATTCTATATTGTAACCATTGTAGTTTTGTACTTTTAGTACTGATAAAAGGTAAGTGAAAAATTGCTTTCCATTGTAACTTAGATAGAGTGAAATATTTTCCCCATTTTGATTTGTAAAAAGATGTGACATTTTCTTCTGTATTTAGTGTGTCATACATATTTTTGGTACCTTTTTTGGATGAACAAAATAATCTTATGTAAAATGGTATAATTGGTCTAGGGTTATTGTTTTCTTTGACAATATCCTCACTTTTGATACTGGTTGTAATAGAATTTTGTATACCATAGTATGTAAGAAAATTAGTTTTAATGTTGAACTTATTCTGGAGATCTCGTAAACTCAAAAATGCTCCATTCTCATCAAGCAAATCATTAATATATATAATATTCTTATTATACCATTCAATATAGAAAATGGACTTTTTTCCAATTTTAATTTTTTTATTAAACCATATTGGTTGAGCTAAAAATTCTTGCCATGATTTTATCTTCATTTTATCTTGAATATCTCGAAAAGCAATTAATGTATCTTTCCAAAAAGGATTTCTTATAAGGTGCAAAATATCATTAATGTAATCTGATCCAGTTTTGAAGATTTTGTCAAAATTGACATTTTCATTTAATAAAGTTTTCCATTTTGGATTTTGACTGAACAGTAATCTTTTAATCCATGATGATTTCAGACCTTTGATATAGTTATTAATTTCAATCATTTTAGGCCTCCATTTGGATAGTCTTGAGTAATTTGTTTTCTTTTAATTTTATCCACCTTAGATTTCCAAAGGAAATCAAACAAAATATTGTTCAAATCTTTTATGAATTTGCTTGACGGTGTTGGTAGAGAGATAAAAAGATGGTTCATTTGTGA